ATAGATTACCGATGGCCCTGGTTCCATCCAGTCCCTCGTCGGGACCCTGCTTTTGGGAGTGCTAGGAAGTGAGGGCAACTGAGGCTTAAGTTGAGAAAGCAGATGCCTGGGAATGAATAATATTCAAAGCCAATTAAATCCCATGTTACAAAAGCATAATATTAATTGTCTTCTGTTGTCTCGTCCCTCATTGGGACCCTGCTTTTGGGGTGTTAGGAACTAAGGGCAACTGAGGCTTAAGTCGAGAAAGCAGATGCCTGGGAGTGAATAATATTCAAAGCCAATCAAATCCTAAGTTACAAAGCATAATGTTGTCTATATAAAAGAACATTGCCTTAAAGTAAACTATTCAAAAGACATAAGGAGAGAAGAAAGGCAATATTAACTTACAATATAAGTTCAGTGTCCTAGAAAGATCTGACCTTACAAATTAACAGAAACTGATTAGGGGAATAAGCTGAATAACTGTTTGGGGAAGAGAGCATACAGAGGTAGTTACAAATAAACAAAAGAATGAAAGTGACTGGGGAGCACTGGGATGGGTGTGACCCGATAAACCTAAACTCCTTGTGGCAAGGGAGAAAGGACAAAACAATGTCATCCTACAGGTCTATAGTCTACTTTCAGCATGCATCTCTCACCCTGGGCGGATCCTCACAACACTCTTTACTTGGTATTCCCTTCTCTGTCTGAGCTGCCTTTTCCCCTAGCATGTGCAGCTGGCAGGGCTGGAGCGATAGCACAGTGGGTAGGGCGTTTGCCTTGCACGCAGCCAACATGGCCGACCCGGTTCATTCCTCCGCCCCTCTCGGAGAGCCAGGCAAGCTACTGAGAGTATGTCGCCCACACGGCAAAAGCCTGGCAAGCTACACGTGATGTATTCGATATGCCAAACACAGTAACAAGTCTCACGATGGAGACATTACTGGGCCCGCTCGAGCAAATCGATGAACAACTGAAGGACCATGACCGTGATGTGCAGCTAGCCTTCAAGCCAAGGAGTGAACCTCCTGGTACTTATCTCTACTATTCTTGGATGTTAGTTTCCTATTTTGTTACTTTGTATTTCCCAGGTGAATGCAATCTTTCTATTAATCCTCTCTTTCTGACTCATTTCACTTAACATGATACTTTCCATGTAGTACCACTTGTATGTAAATTTCATGACTTCATCTTTTCTAACAGCTGCGCAGTACTCCATTGTATAGATATAAGCATTTGGTATCAATCTTGATCACACACCCAACCTTTGTTTGTTCTGAGCACCTGCTATTGAGCACACTCAGGTAAGTCAATCCCTGATGGGGCTGGAGTGATAGCACAATGGGGAGGGTGTTTGCCTTGCATGCGGCCAACCTGCGTTCAATCCTCAACATCCCATATGGTCCCCTGAGCAACACCAGGAATGACTCCTGAGTGCAGAGCCAGGGGTAATCCCTGAGCATTGCCAGGTGTGACCCAGAAAGCAAAAAAAGAAAAAGAAAAAACTAAGTCAGTCCTTGGAATAACCCAATGATCCAAATGGCCACAATCTCTCACCCACCTACAAACACAAAATGACTGCTGGAGGGGCACATGGGAGATTTCTACAAGAAACTGCACTGGGGGCCTTACACACTCTGACTTCCTGACCCCCATGATCTACCCCATCTTCTCTCTCTTTCACTAGCCTGTCATTTCCCCAACATGACCAAACTCACGGCCCCATTAGGAATCTACACATTGTGTTCACTCAGCCCAACATTCTTGACCTTTTCTTATTTTTCCTACAAGCTCCATGGAAGCATCAAACCATGCAGATGCATCATACTTCCTCCTCCTGGGACTCTCTGAGGATCCAGACATACAGCCCCTCCTCTTGGGCAGGTTCCTATCGATGTATCTGGTCACCATGCTGGGGAACCTCCTCATCATCCTGGCCAGCATCTCTGACCCCCGCCTCCACACACCCATGTACTTCTTCCTCATCAACCTGTCCTTCACAGATATCTGCTTCACCTTCACCACCATCCCCAAGATGCTGGTGAACATCCAGGCCAAGAGCAAAGCCATCTCCTACATCGGCTGCCTCACGCAGGTCTACTTTTTTTGTCATTTGGATTTTTGGACAATTTCCTCCTGTGATGGCCTATGACCGCTTTGTGGCCATCTGCCACCCCCTACACTACATGGTCATCATGAACCCCCGCCTCTGTGCCTACCGGGTTCTTATGTGCTGGCTGGTCACTTTCTGGGCTTCCCAGTTTCATATCCTCCTGATGGCGCAATTGACCTGCGTGGGCACTGAGATCCCACATTTCTTCTGTGAATTGTCTCAGGTGCTCAAGATGGACTGCTCAGATATCCTGGTCAATAAGGTTGCCTTGTATGTGTCCACTGCACTTCTGGGCATGATTCCCCTCGGGGGCATCCTCTACTCCTACTCTCATATAGTCTCCTCCCTAATGCGCATGTCCTACAAGAGGGACAAGTACAAAGCCTTCTTCACCTGTGGCTCTCATTTCTCCGTGGTCTCCTTGTTCTATGGCACGGGTCTGGGCGTCTACTTGAGTTCTGTGGCAACTGACGTTTCCAAGAAAAGTGCCGTTGCCTCTGATATACACGGTGGTCACCCCCTTGCTGAACCCCATCAAAGGGGCGCTGGGCAGGCTCCTCTGCGGAGAAGTTATTTGTCAGCGATGGGTCCCTGGGCTAAGGAATGCTATGGCTCCTAAGGAAAATTCAACAGAGAATTTAAAAGCCCTGGGTCGTTATCTCGCTAAGTGACAAGCTCCGTTTCTTCCATGCAAATAGCATGGCAATTATTGGTTCTATTAATCTTCGTATCTTCTCTACCCCTTCTGCAATTCCATTTCCCTTTTTTCTTAAATCTTTGAAGCTCCTAAGCTGTATCTTTGGTCATCTCAGGCTCATGGCCTCTCCCAAGATTCCCAATGCTGAAATGAAGCCTTCATATCCAATGATTCTAGTGTTACCCAAAAAATCTACCCAAGGGATAATGTGCCTCCACTAAGTTGAATTCTGCCTGTGTTTCCCCTGGAAAGAAATAGGTTGGGGAGGTCTGGAATCACACCCTCCTCGTCAATAAGGGAATTCTGATCAAGTCACAGCATGCTGTTGCCATGGGTGAATTCATTTTTCTTCAAAACATTCTTTTGCAATATATCTTCTCCTTTGCCCCACTTTTCATTTGAAGGAGAGAGACTGAACTGGGCATGCCCACACTGAAACAAATGTTTCTGTCATACTTTTTCATGCCAATCTAGTTGTAGTTTTAAACTTCATAGTAGGAACATGAACTAGAAAGCTGTATCATCTAGATGATTGGTAGGAATGAAATGCCTAAAGAATTCTTACAGGCTGTTTTATTCTCTGTCATCTGTCCTTCCTTTCTTTCTCTCTTTCTTTCTTTGTTTCTTTCTTCCTACAGTTGATATCACTTACTTCGTTTTGACATGAAAATCACCCGTTTTTGTGGTTTAGAGTTAAGGTGACTATGTACATCAAAGTCCTGAGATTCAATGCTGTTAAAAAATCTGTGACCCAAAAAAATAAGAAGAAAATTAAAATAAATGAGTTTGCTATGAGGTGAGGAGAAAAGGAAGGAACCTTAGGTTGTTGGTGGAGGATGTTTACAAGAGTGAAAAATTTGGGGAAGAAACATTTAATGCCCAACGGACTCTCTGGCTCCTGGATGAGGGGAGGAGGGATACTGAGGACATTAGTGGTGGAAAATTTACACTGGTGGAGGGATGGGTGTTCAATCATTGTATGACTGAAACTCAAACATGAAAGCTATGTAACTGTAGATCATGGCGATTCAATTAAAAAAAAAAACAAAAATTTCTTGTTTTGTGAGCAGCTACTCCCGGTTCTATCACCAGCCAGAGAAAGTGCCAGGCGTTATCCCCAAGCAAAAAGCTAGGAGTAATCCTGGAGCACTGCCAGGTAGCCCTGATAGTCCCTCTAGCAAGTTCCCAGGTAGTGTCGATCTACTGTTCAAACTTTGATTCAAATTGGGTGACTATTTCAGAGAACTGTCCCAGAGCATTCAGGTGTGGTTAGGAAGCTCTCACACCTCACAGCAGTTCAGTGATAAGTAAAAATATAATAAAATAAAAGAACAAAAGGATTATGAAGACTTAAACAACACATTAGAATTTATGTTTGCAGTTTAAAACTGACAATCATCTGAACAAGTTTCAAATGCACATTTCTACCTTACGATTTAAAGTCACACTAAGGTTGTTGTAAAAAGGAGAGACCAGAGCGTTGGACTGTGGGCTCTGAGTCTGGCTCAGTCTCTCTCTCTTTTATCTGGATAAGTAATGGTGTAAATACCTCAAGGAAAATTTTGAGGAAAGACACGTGCATGCATACACTTGGACAGCAAGCCTGTCTTGATAATCAATCCCTGTCTTTGTGATAATGGTGGGATTTCCATCCCTTATCATTTATTTAAAATTTGTTAAGAATTAAAATTTGCATCATCATTTGACTTGGTACTTGGGAGAAGAATATGATCTTATATCTCACGCTGTGGGGAATGGGTGTGGGAAAGCAGGAGCTATTACAGCAAGTAAGGTGTTTGCCTTGCATGCAGCCAACCTGGGTTCAATCCCCAGCATCCCATATGGTCCCCAAGCAGTGCCAGAAGTTATTGCTGAGTGCACAGTCAGGAGTAACCCCTGATCATTGCCAAGTATGACCCCAAAGAACAAACAAATAAATATATCTCGTGCTGAAATCTCAGAAGAGGGTATGAGTCAAGTTGACCAAAGACAGATCTTGAGGGGATTCGAATAGAGATGGAAAGGGGGAAATAGAATTCCAGATGCAATTGTAGAAAATACACAACTATTAAATTCAATGACTTGCAGAACCTCAGCATAGAAGAAATGAAGTCTGTTTTGGTGAGAAAATGACCCAGGACATTCAAATTCTTCATTAAACCTTCATTGGGGGCCACAGTGTTACTTAGAAATGAGTCCAGGGACCCATCACTGACAAACAATTGCTCGGCTGAGGAGCCTGCCCAGAGCCCCTTTGACATCCTTGTTCCTCAGGCTGTAGATGAAGGGGTTCAGCATGGGGGTGACCACCGTGTACATCACTGAGGCAATAGAATTTTTCTCAGAAGCATGAGTGGCCGCAGAAATGAGATATACACCCAGGCCTGTGCCATAGAACAAGGAGACCACGGAGAGGTGAGACCCACAAGTGGAGAAGGCCTTAGACTTGCCCTTCTTGGAGGACATATGCAGTAGGGAGGAGACGATCTGAGAGTAGGAGTAGAGGATGCCGCTGACAGGAACCACACCCAACAGGGCAGTGGACACGTACAAGGCAGTATGGTCGATGAAGGTGTCCGAGCAGGCTACCTTGAGCATCTGAGCCAGTTCACAGAAGAAGTGTGGAATCTCAGTGCCCACGCAGAAAGTCAGCCGTGCCATCAGGAGGATATGAAACAGGCCAACCCAGAAGTTGACCATCCAGCACATAAGAACCAGATAGACACAGAGGCGGGGGTTCATGATGACCGTGTAGTGCAGAGGGTGGCAGATGGCCACAAAGCGGTCATAGGCCATCACACTCAGGAGGAAATTGTCCACTCCTACAAATAACATGAAAAAGTAGACCTGCGTGAGGCAGCCAATGTAGGACATGGCTTTGTTCTGCTTCTGGATGTTCACCAGCATCTTGGGGATGGTGGTGGAGGTGAAGCAGATGTCTGTGAAGGACAGATTGGTGAGGAAGAAGTACATGGGGGTGTGGAGCCGGGGGTCAGAGATGCTGGCCAGGATAATGAGCAGGTTCCCCAGCACAGTGATCAGGTACATGGACAGGAACATGCCAAAAATGAGAGGCTGCATGTCCGGATCTTTGGAGAGTCCCAAAAGGAGGAATTGTGGTGCTTCTGTTTGGTTTGCTTCCTCCATGTAGCTTATGAATCTGCCAGGGAATATGAAAACAGTCATGGAGGTGGCACTGGGCAACTATCCTGGGGTTCTCACATGTCAAACATCTGCTTTTCTCCTTTGAGCTATCTCCCTGGTATGAGCCACCTGATTTTTATTTTTCTGAAGATAACTATTGACTTAGTCAAATTAACCTATTTCTATTTTAAATATATATGTATTCAGATTTCTTTATTTAAGCATAATTTCTTCATCTCCTACTCACTGTCTCTAATTCTTGTTTTTCTATTTATCAATTTAATCCATTTTCTTGTTTGCAGATTCTTAGAAATCATTCAAGGCAGTTTAACTATTTTCCTGTTAATTTCTCTGATTTTCTTTAATTAAATCACTATATCCTTAATTTAAAAAGGATTGGGGCTGAAGAAACTTTGGTACATCTACACAATGGAGTACTATGTAGCGGTTAGAAAAAATGAAGTCATGAAATTTACATACAAGTGGTACAATATGGAAAGTATCATGCTAAGCGAAATGAGTCAGAAAGAGAGGGATAGACATAGAAAGATTGCATTCATCTGGGGGATATAAAGTAACAAAGTATGAGATTAATACCCAAGAATAGCTGAGATCAGCACCAGGAGGATTCCTCCATAACTTAGAGGCCAGCCGGGTATCCTAGAGGAAAGGGCAGTTCAGATAGAGAAGGGAGCACCAAATAAAGGATGTTTGGAGGATCCTCCCAGGAGGGGAGATGCATGTCGAAAGTAGACTATGGACTGAACATGTTTGCCACTCAATGCCTCTTTTGCAGACCACAACACCCAAAAGAAGAGAGAGAACACAGGGGATTGCCCTGCCACAGAGACAGGGGGGATGGGGGGATGGGGGTGGGAGGGATATTATCCATGGTGGTGGAAAATGGGCACTGGTGGAGGGATGGGTATCTGATCATTGTATAATTGAAACTAAAGCACAAAAAATTGTAAATTTACAACTGTAAAATAAAATAAAATAAAATAAAGGGGAAAAAAAGGATTGGGGCTGGAGCGATAGCACAGCGGGTAGAGTGTTTGCTTTCCACGAGGCCATCTCAGGGTCAATTCCCAGCATCCCATATGGTCCCCCAAGCATCGCCAGGAGTAATTCCTGAGTGCATGAGCCAGGAGTAACCCCTGTGCATCGCTGGGTGTGACCCAAAAAGAAAAAAAAATTAAAATACAAGGATTTTTCACATGAGACGACGTCAAAGTTAAAAAAAAATCACCACTAGAAGAAACATGGGCTAAAATTAAAAGATACTGAAGTAATGGGAGAAACTAGTTGCATATGAAAATCTAATAAAGAGCTAATATCTCAGATACATAAAGCACTCACAAAACTCACCCAAAAAGTTTCTAGAAACCTAACATGGATGGCCAGTAGACACACCAAAAAATGTTTATAGTTATTTATTTCCAGGGAATTGTGATCAAAATGACATAGAAATATCACTCCATATCAATGAGCATGACCTATATCAGAAGCCTGGAAATAATCAGTATTGGCAGGGATACAATGAAAAATGAACCCTCATTCGCTATTAAAAGGAACATTGTCTGGTTCAGTCTGGTTCAGAAATCTGAAGATTTCTCAAAACGTGAAAGTACAGCTTCCCATATTGCCTAGTGATTTTAGGTCTTGGCCTCTACCACAAGCACAAAAAAAAAAGATACAAGCTTCCCTATATTCACTTCAAAGCTAAATCCAATAGCCAAGGTATCAAAACAACCCTACTGTCAGATGTTAGATAAAATGTAAGATATACGGTCTCTCTACACAATGGACACTGTCATCAAAAGGGAGGAATTAATCCTGCCTTTTGCGTCAATATAGAAAGAGTCAAGGTTATCTTGTTAGGTGAAATAAGTCAGGAAAGACCAACACTGATGAGTTCACTCATGTATGGTATATTAAGAAATAAAACATAGGTGGACACAGAGTCAGATGACTGACTTTTGACCACAAGACTGAGGTGACCAAGATGGGGAGGGAGGAATGTTTGTGAGGTGGGAGAAGAAGAGACACAAGATAGAAGTGACACAGATCATGGTGTAGAGTATTCTTAATTTGGTAGTGGTGCAAGTGCAAAATTTGCACTCCTGAAGAGTAAATGCTAACACTCCAGTAACCATATAACCTAATCAACAATTAAAAATAACCATAAGCTTTCGGAGGCCACAAGTTGCCCCCCACAAGCGGCTTTCTGGCATGGCCATGGCCCCAGAGGCACACAGACCTAGTTCAGAACTCAGCAGCTTGCGGCAGAAATGTGAATGGATTATGCGTTAAACTACAGCACCGTGCCCCCCCACCAGGGGAGGAAAGGGTGTCTGTCTCTTCCACCTCCCCCCCCACACCGCGCAGCACAGTGGCCGCCACCTCAGAGCTTATTGGGCAGTCAGGTATGAGCAGGCAGTGACAGGACAACTGCACCCTCATGGGATGGGGGCGGAACCGGCACGTCCTTCATGCCCTACCAAGGCCACGAGTTGCCCCCCATGAGTGGCTCTCTGGCACAGCCAGAGCACACAAATCAATCTCGTAATTTTCCGGCTTTTGGCAGAAATCCCTCCAGACTTAATTAGTAAAATATCAGAAAGCCAAAATCGCGTGGCCACAATAGTGGCCTTTCCACAATGCCATGTCAGCAGTTCTGATTGTTGGGAGGAAATTCCAAATAATAATGGTGCATCTTTTGTCGAAATAATGAATATAATCAAAGTAGAGAGAGAGTTAAGTAGAAATCATCTGCCTCACAAGCATCAGGAGGGGTGGGAAGGGGGGTATATTGGGGGTTTTGGTGGTGAAAAATGCACTGGTGAAAGGATGGGTGTTTGATCATTGTATGACCGAGACTTAAACCTGAAAGCTTTGTAACTTTTCTCATGGTCATTCAATAAATAAATTTTAAAAAAAGAAGAACATTCAGTCCAAGATTTCACTTTCTCCTCAAATAAGGAGAAAATATAATCATGGTAAGAGTATTTACTGAATAGCCTAGAATTCAGAGTTCAAGCTTCAGTGATATGCTATAAAGAGATGTTTCATTGGTCTACAGTTTTGACCAATGAAAAATGCAAAATGGTATTTTAAGTTAATGTTTCAAATAAAATTTCAGGCACCAGGGAGTTAGCTCAAGCACATGCTTAGCCTACCTAAGATCTGAATTCAATCCCCTTTCCCCGTGTTTACCCACTCCTCACAGCGCCACCGTATGGCCGTGTGACCCTAGCACTGCTGGCTGCCCAGAGGCTGGAAGAGGTCTACTAGGAGTGACCTCTCTAACAAATGGTCACGGTCACGGTCACGAAATAATGAATATAATCAAAGTAGAGATAGAGTTAAGTAGAAATCATCTGCCTCACAAGCATCAGGAGGGGTGGGAAGGGGGGTATATTGGGGGTTTTGGTGGTGAAAAATGCACTGGTGAAAGGATGGATCCTCCCGTTGTTCATCGATTTGCTCAAGCGGGCCCAGTAACGTCTCCATTGTGAGACTTGTTGTTACTGTGTTTGGCATATTGAATATGGCACAGGTAGCTTACCAGGCTTTGTATCTTGCCGTGCAGGCAAGAAACTCTTGGTAGCTTGCCAGGCTCTCTGAGAGGGGCGGAGGAATTGAACCCGGCTCGCCCAGGCCCCCTGCACACAAGGCAAACGCCCTACCACTGTGCTATCGCTCCAGCCCTAACAAATGTTAAAATAAATAAATAAAATGAAATTTCCTTGTATAGATGAAAAAATAACCATAAGCTTTCATTCCAAATAATCTTAACTGTAGGACCTTGTCTTCCTCTGTGAAACTTTCCCTCATCAGCTATCTTTCATATGACCTTTTCATTTTCTTCCTGAAAAAGGGGTAACCACTGTTACCTTCTTTGTGAGATTAAAATCTCTTCAGTTGAGACTTGAGCGATAGCACAGCGGGTAGAGAGTCTGCCTTGCATGCAGCTGACTTGGGTTCAATTCTCAGCATCCCATAGGGTCCCCTGAGCACTGCCAGGAGTAATTCCTGAGTGCATGAGCCAGAAGTAACTCTGCTACAACGCTGGGTGTGACCCAAAAAGCAAAAAAGAAAAAAAAAACAAATAAACAAAAATTTCTTCAGTTTTAATAGGATCTCTATAAATGATAGATAATACTATTCTTTGTTATTCTATTCCCACATGACAGTGATTTTGACCTAGACCACTTACAAAGTCCAATGTAAATCTAGGTACTAGGAACAAGGGTCATGAGTCAGATTTCTTGAAATAGAATTTTGGGTCACAACTACCTGTGTGACTTGGAGAATTTAATCTGTCTCGGGTGTAGAGACCTCACCTCTTCCAATCAGAAGAGGGAATCGCAGACACATTCAATAAGATGACAAGTGAATTAAATGAGTGAATGTGTGTCATTTTGTCTGGTGTAATTTCTTCAACAACTTGTGCATACTTGCAAACTATCTGCAATCCTAGAACTATCTCCATGGTCCTCTACCTGAAGAATACAAATAAAATAAAACTATAAATGAAACAAAAGAACACCTTCTTGAACAGGTTATGTGGGAATTCACCCCCATGACCAAAAAAAAACCCCAAGGGTGAGCTATGCCCCTAGGTAAGACAGTTTAGGTAATGGAAAGGGGTTGCAAAAATGCACCCAGGAAAGAAGAATATATATTGAAAGAATAAAATAGTGAGCAAATATATGCTGTTGCAAAACTATGCCAGGCAAGCACAGAATAAGACTGTTTAGAGTCTGGGGCTGGAACGATAGCACAACGGATAGGTTGTTTGCCTTGCACTCGTCAGATCCGGGTTTCGATTCCCAGCATCCCAATGGTCCCCCAAAAACCGCCAGGAGTAATTCCTGAGTGCAGAGCCAGGAGCAACCCCTGAGCATCGCTGGGTGTGACCCAAAAAGCAAAACAAATGAATATGTTTTGTTTTGTTTTGTTTTTTAAAAAAAAAAAAAGGAAATTAGGGACTGGAGCAATAGCACAGCGGGTAGGGCATTTGCCTTGCACGTGGCCGA